TGTATTCCTAACGGTCCAGTATCTTTTTTCAAGATAATAACTAATTCTCTGTTAATAAAGTTTTATAACTGAAGTTTTAATATTTTACTCTAAATATATGATTTCAAAAATTTATTCATTAATTCAACATACTTTTCTTCATCACTATCATCACCAATATGATCTGGGGAATGGCAATCAGATGAAGATCCTGAGCCTCCTAAAGGTTCTTTTCTTTCCTATTATTTAAATAAAATAATTAATTAAATAAATAAGCAATTTAATGTTACATAAGAATTTCAAAAAAATGTGATTTTAAATATTTTGGTGCTAAAATTGGAGAAAAATAGTGCTTAAATTTGATGTTTAAAATATCTAATATTTATCTACTATACATTTGAAAAAATTATTCTTAATGCTTTGCTGACCTAATGTACAATTTTTATTTTCTTTTTATTGTATATAATGCAAGAGATAATTTTACATATGTACTAAAAGATTTGATTATTGTAAAGTATTCTAATTCATTTTAAAAATCTTTTGATAAAAATAATAAAATTAATTTTTTTTAAATATGGTGAAAGTAATAAAGTAGAAAGGCTGAATCACAAATAATGCTTTGCCTAAATATAAGCAATATTTCAAAATTATGTCAATTAATATTTACTATTCGTGAAATGTTAACTCATACAAATTATGTAATATATTTAAATAATAATTTATTAACTTCATTTCTTTCCTTTAAAAGGAGAATATTTTTCTTTTTATAAATTAATTTTTTTAGTATATACTGTATTTTATAAATTTAAATTTGAACTAAACACTTAACATAAATTTTTGACTTTTTTCAAAACAATATTGAAAGGTAAACTTTTAAAAAAGTTTGGAATTCATATAATATAATCACAGACTAGACAAGGCCATCTATTCTGTGACATGAATAAGCCAATCATACCATATTATAGATTTTGAATTTGTGACTCCCAGAGGAAGTCACAAATTCTGTATTGTTTAATTTATGCTATATACCATTAACAGTTTTTTAAAATCTTTTCATGAATGATTATAAACAAAATCCTAAAATTTATCTTAACAACTCCTGCTCCAAATTTGCATTCCAATACAAGTACCAATAATACCAGGTTTTCAAAATCAATATCTGAGTTTTAAAATCTATTTGATTATCACTACCAATTTAATACAGGCTAATATAAATGCCAAGGTTATAAAAAAGGATTTATTTTACAGATTTTGTTATTTCTGTTACATATTATTACATAACATACAAAGCTATTCATTAAGTTAGTAACAGTTTATTAGTCTAGCACTTTGGTTGTCAACTAGGACTAACTGAAGAATAGCTTAATTTACTTTTGGTATTTTCAAAAACAATTCATTTATATTGTTAGAAGTTACACAAAACAAATGAATGACTCATTTAACATGACCTTTCAAAAACAGTAAATAATTTTCTATTTTTTTTTTTAATATTGCTCAATGTAGTCCCCATTCTGAAGGTATAAAACCTGATGATGATGATGAATAGTATTCAACATCAAATCATAATTGATCCTCTGTAATGCTTTTCACCTGCAATGAAAAGTAGTCTTTTGAGGCTGTAAATATGCAATGTATCCTCAAAACTAAACACCATACAAATTAAGATCCAAAGATGCCACTGTGGTGAGTTTTTGTACTTTTTTTTTACAGAAATGCCACTATACCAAATTTGGTTATATTTGGCTGCTAAATATTTCTCCAGACAACGTTGAATAGGAGTACCTTAATTAACTACCACCCAGTATTTCATGAAAATAATTACATAAATGCGAAAATCAAAATATTGTACTGTATGTACAATATTANAAAAAATTTTGTTAGGCTTAACATCAATGAAAATTCAACGCAAAGTAGATTAATAGCGATATACTAATATACTAATTATATAAGATATACTAATATACTATACTAATAATGTATTGTTTCATACTTTTCAGTTATCCGACCAACCCCAGTCTCCGAGTAGGATAATTGATGCTCTACTGTATATAAAAATCAACTGCATAAAAAGAGGGATAAGTGTGTTATTTTAAATCACTATTCTGTATTCAATAAATAACTTAATAACTGAGTATTATAAAAGAATATATAAAAATAAAACATAATATAACAAATGTTTATATTCTCTGCTTTATTGATGTAACAGTTTCCAATAAACTAATATTTAATTAGTTTATTGGAAACTGTTATTAAATAATAATATTATTTAATTAATTGTTAATATTGTAATTTAAAAAATGTTTAATCTTGGGCTGAAACAAATGATTGATTTTCTTATCAAATGTGCAAGAATTGTTTTTAATTAAGAATCTGAAATTGTGATGAGATTTTTCTCAATTCTGATTCCTGAAAAATGTCTGATTTTTCTGATTCCCTATTCTGATTAATCATCTCATCACATTTTAGATCTTAATCTACACAACCAAAAGTTGTATGGATTAAGATCTAAAATGCCAGAAGTGCCATAGTGATGAGTTTTGGTACTAATTTTTTTTCTTTTTTTACAAATATGTCTTCTGCATGTCCCAAAATCCACCATAACAAATTTCATAGCATTTAGACTGCTAAATATCTTTCTAGACAGCATTAAATAGAAATACTTTATTTATTATCACCCAATATTTTCACTTCTATCAAAAACCTTAAATTATATTCCAGTAAGGTTTAATTCAAAATAAGAAAGTTTTTTTCCAACTAAAAGAAGGTTTTCGATCTGCAATTGGAGATCTTAAAAAAAAAAACATCATTGTTCGATTTAATCATTTCATCATCAAATATACAGACCTGAAGATGATCTTCAATTGCAGATCGAAAATGCTAGTTGAAAAAAACCTTTTTTTCAAATTAAACCTTACTGGAATATAATTTAAGGCTTTTGATTGAAGTGCTTATTATATCATTCCAGTTTACTAAGTAGTGTTTTAATCCAATATTTTCTTTGTAAAATTATACAAGTAAATATTATAATGCCATCATAAAATAAATTTTTTTTGTATTAATAGTAAATTTTTAAAATAAGAAAAATGTATAAAAATTATTTGAAAGTTATTTATTTAATTTTGTTAATTTTCAAAAAATTTCCAGTACAATTTTTCTCTTTTTTTATTGGGCTGCAATTTGAAAAAATTATAGACCTACTACCTTCCACTGTCATCCATCCATCTTTCCTTAATCTCGAGAATGGTGTTAGATAAATGAAATTCAAAAGTAGATGTGGAAAGCTTAGGGATAGGAGAGCCCAATTAACTATATACAAACTTCAGATGCAAATGCAAACTGGATATGATTAAAAATTGCAGCCCAGCAACGTGACAATGTCATAATAAATAATTTCTCATTATTATTATTATTATTAATTTTCTCNAAATCTTTTGATAAAAATAATAAAATTAATTTTTTTTAAATATGGTGAAAGTAATAAAGTAGAAAGGCTGAATCACAAATAATGCTTTGCCTAAATATAAGCAATATTTCAAAATTATGTCAATTAATATTTACTATTCGTGAAATGTTAACTCATACAAATTATGTAATATATTTAAATAATAATTTATTAACTTCATTTCTTTCCTTTAAAAGGAGAATATTTTTCTTTTTATAAATTAATTTTTTTAGTATATACTGTATTTTATAAATTTAAATTTGAACTAAACACTTAACATAAATTTTTGACTTTTTTCAAAACAATATTGAAAGGTAAACTTTTAAAAAAGTTTGGAATTCATATAATATAATCACAGACTAGACAAGGCCATCTATTCTGTGACATGAATAAGCCAATCATACCATATTATAGATTTTGAATTTGTGACTCCCAGAGGAAGTCACAAATTCTGTATTGTTTAATTTATGCTATATACCATTAACAGTTTTTTAAAATCTTTTCATGAATGATTATAAACAAAATCCTAAAATTTATCTTAACAACTCCTGCTCCAAATTTGCATTCCAATACAAGTACCAATAATACCAGGTTTTCAAAATCAATATCTGAGTTTTAAAATCTATTTGATTATCACTACCAATTTAATACAGGCTAATATAAATGCCAAGGTTATAAAAAAGGATTTATTTTACAGATTTTGTTATTTCTGTTACATATTATTACATAACATACAAAGCTATTCATTAAGTTAGTAACAGTTTATTAGTCTAGCACTTTGGTTGTCAACTAGGACTAACTGAAGAATAGCTTAATTTACTTTTGGTATTTTCAAAAACAATTCATTTATATTGTTAGAAGTTACACAAAACAAATGAATGACTCATTTAACATGACCTTTCAAAAACAGTAAATAATTTTCTATTTTTTTTTTTAATATTGCTCAATGTAGTCCCCATTCTGAAGGTATAAAACCTGATGATGATGATGAATAGTATTCAACATCAAATCATAATTGATCCTCTGTAATGCTTTTCACCTGCAATGAAAAGTAGTCTTTTGAGGCTGTAAATATGCAATGTATCCTCAAAACTAAACACCATACAAATTAAGATCCAAAGATGCCACTGTGGTGAGTTTTTGTACTTTTTTTTTACAGAAATGCCACTATACCAAATTTGGTTATATTTGGCTGCTAAATATTTCTCCAGACAACGTTGAATAGGAGTACCTTAATTAACTACCACCCAGTATTTCATGAAAATAATTACATAAATGCGAAAATCAAAATATTGTACTGTATGTACAATATTATGTACAATATTTTGTCAGTATGTACAGTACAGCTAACTACTTTCAATCAAAGTATGTACAGTACAGCTAACTACTTTCTCTAAGATTGAGACATAAAAAATTTCTGTCAAAACTAGTACTTTCAGACTTTGTGTTGATTTTCTCAGGGGAATCAACACAATAGTGGCAAAAAACAAACATTTTGTAAACAAATGTGACATCACATATATTAACAACACTAGCTCACACCCTCTTCCAGATAAATTATACTTTCACTCCCATACAATATGAAAATGACCATCCACTCTATGTTGACCAAATAATTCTCATTTACTCCCATTACTCATTAAATCTTCTGGAAAAGAAACCTATTCTTTAATCCCACCAGTTTTTTATTACCAATTTCCATGCAAATGCCAAGGAATCTCTGTCCTTCACATTAATCATCCCCAACTCTAACCCCTTCTTATATATCCATATCTTCTCCACACAACAACTTATATT